AGGGGTGGCTCCTTTGCCTTGTAGGGTCCTATGGAGCCACCTTTGTATGTACTAGTGAGCTGTGTGTGTCTCCCCAAACACTCAGGCACCAGTGACGTACTGTCTGGGGGCAGAGCCTCACCTGCCATTATGGAAGAAAAAGCCATCTGTCAGCGGCAGTCCGCATCAAATCAGATGTGATACGATTACATGTGGTTTGCAATAGATGACTGTGGTTGGGCGCATCTTTCCTGCGTTCGGGGATAGTGATCTATACCAAACCGCATGTAATCGTATCATACATTATATTATAATAACAATAGCATATGCTGTAGCTCAGGCATTGTAGGGGAAAGGGGGTGTGGGGGCATTGACAATTTTGCTATGGGGACCAGTGATTTCTAGTTCTGGTTTACATGTTCTGTCAGAAATAATTATGGCAGTCTTTATCTTGTGTACATGGGATATTTCTTGATTAATGATATCGCTACATACATAGCATGAAGAAGCGCCATCCTTTATCAAGTTTCTAGATTAAACTGCTGCTGGAAAGTGAGTGCAAAGATTTATGCTTCAGATTGATATACTGTCCAGACCACTCAGCTCTCCCCTTTGTGCATTAAATAGGTAACTTAATTAAGAGAAAATGGAAGCCAGTAATTGACTCTTAATACAATATAGAAGAAGACATAATATGAGCAGGCCTAGCCAGAGAAGAAGACATAATATGAGCAGGCCTAGCCAATGAGACAACTATATATAAAATATATAAAAATCCAAAGAACCCATAATGATGTTCAAACATTCTTACTGTAATAAACAAAAGGTACAAGCAAATACTTATTCAGTTTTGCCCCAGGTTACTAAATGTAAATTGTAAGTGATGTATATGAATAAACACACTTCTATACTGTAACCTGGTAAAGTAATGAATTATGGCATGACAGTCGAATAGGTCTGGGGTCAGCAATTACCCAGCAGATCATTACTTTGAATAAGGCACCAGACATAGTTCAATAATTGCATTAATGTGTACCCAAAACTAGATTAAATCAACCTCGGCGTTTTCATCATAGCACACACAATATTCAATAAGCACTTTTACTCTGTACCTGTGTATGAGGTCATTGTCTCATATAACATTACATAGTATACTACATCTTTGTTTTCTACGGCATTTAGCAATGTAAGTGACAATCTGCCATGAAATAAAGTGCAAAAGTGGTGCAGTGCAAATGTTGGGACAAATATACAGAAGAGCCATCCTTATCATTCTCTTTATTGTATTTTAAAAGTGTATAAAATGAACAACGGTTGCAGCTTACCTATTTTGGACTGAAATACTGAAGGTATTGCACATACAGGGGTCTATTCACTAAGCTGCCGAAGGATCTAGCCGTAGCTTCGGCTGATCCTTCGCCTAGCTCCGGCCCCAGGGACACATTCGCTTCAGTAGAACCGAAGGGCTGCTGTACGGGCTATTCCCTATAGCCCGTACAGTTCCCGAGGTTGGCCGAGCGGCTCAGTCGAGCCGAAGGTATATGCCTCGGCTCCACTGAGCCGCGCTGTAAGCCAAAGCTTCTGACAGCTGGGCGGAGGCAGTCGTCATCTCACGGCTGGCTCCGGCCACTTGCAGAGAGATCAGCGTCCCTGGCCTCTCCGTCTTCTCAGTGTGTAATGACAGATGGGGTTCCTGGTTACCTGGTAACCAGGAACCCCATCTGTCATTCCTCCCTCGGACGCTCTTGGAGTCTAATAAGCTCCCGGCCGCCCGGGAGAGAAACACTTTCTCCCAGAAAGGTTCACTTTTCTTCTGACATCGGAGCCGTTGGCGGCCGTCAGAAGAAAAAAAAAAAAGAAATCACCATAGGAATGCATAGCTAGATTCCTTTTGCCTATTTCACTTTGCAATAGCCAATAGCAAACTAGCTATTGCACCCGCCCACTGCTGCTTTCAATCAGCAGACTGGGACCTGCAGTTCTCCATCAGGTCCCCGTCTGGTGATTGCCAGCAGCAGAGGGTGGGTGCAATAGCTAGTTTGCTATTGGCTATTGCAAAGTGAAATAGCCAATAGGAATCTAGCTATGTATTCCTATGCTGGCTTTTTTTCCCTGACTGACGGCAGCCGGCGGCCCCATGTCAGAGAAAAAACAGGTCGCAAGGAAATGTTTACTCTGCTTGATCGAGCAGAGTAAACCTTTCCGGGAGAAAGTGTTTCTCTCCCGGGCGGCCGGGAGCCGCTATCTAATAGCTGGAGACTCCCAGAGCATCCGGGAGAGTAATGACAGATCAGCGTCCCTGCTTACCTGTTTTTTTTTGACGGCAGCAGAACCTCCCGGCCAATAGAAAACAGTTTGGTGGAGCTAGCTGTCACTGCTAGCTCCGCACAATCATTTTCAATTTTTTTTCTACTGTTGTAACTATTTTTCTATTCTGCTTGATACCACAGAGGGACCAAGCAGAACAGCTGAGCCGAATGCCGCTTAGCGGCATTCGGCTATTTACTCACTGCTGTTCGGCATCTATGAGAATAGACCGAACAGCAGCGACTAGCCTGCCGGAGGTTCGGCTTAGCCGATCCAGATGTTGGATCGGCTGAGTTGAACTCCTTCTGCACTTCCGGTCGGCCGAACATGCTGAGCATGTTCGGCTGACCCGAAGCCACCCGATGTACGGCTGATTTCAGCCGATATACGGCTGGAATCAGCCGTACCAGCCTGAAGTGAATAGCCGAACAGCGTTCGGCTCACTTCGCTTGGGGTCACTTAGTCACTCGGCTGCCTATGGCAGCTTAGTGAATAGACGCCACAGTGTATGGGCCGGATTGGTGCACGCTACCATATATAACACCCAGACCCTGGATGCATAAAAAAACACTTCTTGTAGTAAACACACCACCTTCACCTGATTTAGTGTCCACACATCCAATACAAAGGTCTCCCAAATCAGAACTGCAGCTGCTGTTGATTTTATACAGTTTTGGATTACAATAAAAAGACACTGAAGAGTTATCTGGTTGCTGATTTTACAAAAACTTTTAGTAAGAAGACAATCATACATATAGAGATTAGGGGCCCGACCTAAGCAAAGAGTTAATTGGACATATTAAAAATACTGATATAATATGTATTTACAGACTAAAACTACCTAAATTAGAATGTTTTACACAAAAAAATTATATTTTTTAATGAATTTACTGTGTTATTATTTTTTCTTCTATAAAGGATTCCATGATCTGGAGCCCCTATGTATGTTGACTTAAAGCTTGCTGGTACTAATTAGTCACATTCAACTGTACTTGTTTTCTAATGTTGAAGAGCTTCTTCAGCTCTAAGGGAACAGAAGAAACTGTTTTGGTTAAGCAGCTTCAGCATTATAAAAATTCCAGTTGAATATGACTGCATTTTACTAGACTGGGATAAAAGAGAACCGTCAAAGATGTATATAATCTTAATCCTATAAATAAACATTTAAAGGCTAAATTTACCTTTTTGACCATGTGTCAGGTGAGTGCAGAAGGAGTTTGTGAGCGCAGTGAGTGCAGAAGGAGTTTGACTCAGCCAATCCAACATCTGGATCGGCTGAGCCGAAGCTCTGGCAGCTCACTCGCCTATTCTCATGGCAGTGAGTGAATAGCCGAATGGCGCCGAGCGGCATTCCCCTCGGCTATTCTGCTTGGTACCTCCAAGGTACCGAGCATAATAGAAAATAAGTGAAAAGAATGGGGAAAAAAAGTTTAAAAATAATTTAAAAAATGTAAAAAATAGGAAAATTAAAAAATATTTGAAAAGAAAAGAAAAAAAAAACATTGCACGCAACCCGACCGCATGCGACGGATTCCTGCTGCATAATGAAGCATCTGACAGATCCTATTGGCCACCACCTGCCAGAGTCTTCTAGCAGGTACCGGCCAATGAATATCAACTGGTTACCGGCCAATGAATATCCGCCCAGTTGTTATTGTTTAATGACAGATCAGCGTACCCAGGTCATTTGGGGAAGTTGATCTTTCATTACAACTGGACGGAGCGAGTTGTGAGATGGGTGGAAATCGGTCGGCTTCGGCCAACCTTTCTCCATGCTTCGGCCGAAGCATATGCCTTCGGCTCGGCTGAGAAGCTCGGCTGCCTTTGGCTGCTGTACCGGCTTTTGTGAATAGCCTGTACAGCAGCCCTTCGCTTGTAATAACCCTAATATCATTATAATTTGGGATGGCACTAAAGAAGAATTCCTATCATTTGTGGACTACTGTAAATGCAATCCCTTTCATCTTGACTTCACACATGTAGTGGATGATAAGACTCTGGTGTTTCTAGATCTGAAATTAGAAGTAGACCAGACTGGCAGGGTTGTTTCAAAAACCCACTTCAAACTTACAGCAGGAAACTCTTACTTACACGCCAAAAGTAACCATTATCCCAGATGCATCAAGAACGTTCCAGATGCTCAATTTGGCAGATTAAGGAGGACGTGTACTCTAAATTCAGATTATGAGGCCTTGGGAGAGGTCCTCACTAAAAAATTCCTTGACAAAGGATATGATGCTGACACTATTGGGAGGGCCTATAGAAAACATCTCACCCTCAAGCTTTCTTGTGATGAATATATTATATTATGGTATTAGTTAATGGTGAGTTCCTGCACTAAATAGATACAAACTGGCACAACATTCTGCAGGTGACCTGTGAATGCCTGACAGACAAAGACATTGGATAGGTGACACCATAGCAAGAGGACACATATAGCAGCAATAAAGTGAGCATCAACAAAATGCCATTTTGTCTAAGAGACCCTTTGTATTTTAACTGCCCATTTCATACATGTTCTGTTATTCATAGTGTAAGGACTAGTTCACGCCAGAAGGCATAACTTAAGGCTGACATGCATGTGTTATGTTTTTAAAAAATCTTTGTTTGAATTTATCCGAGTTCCAAAAGACTGGTAAACGCACCTACAATTTTCACTGCCTGAGGCTGTAGGGGGTGGCTTTTGATGTTTTTTAGTCACATAGTGCACTTACCACTAAAATCACACAGGATTCTGTAATGGGAAGGTTTTCTATTTCAACATCTGGATCCTCTGAAGCCAGCAGATTAAGGGCTTGGTTGTGTGATGATCGGGGGAAAGCTGATTTCATATAAAGTGCAGGAATAAGTTTACTGCCTTTCAGGTTGGCTGGAGAGTGAAAATTGTGTTCAGGCATTTTCTGTCTTTCTAGGTCCAAACTCTTCTCAATACTTTGCACATGACTGTAAATAAACCTGGACTTCCCGTTCTTCCTCTCGCGGATTGCCAAGAAATGATCGTTGTCTCCAGAGAAGCACTCTGTTAGGGGAGAAAACAAAATAACTATAATCGTATAATCGTACTTAAAAGATAAAAAGACTGGCTCCTCTTCAACTACATAAAAATTCATGTAATGCAAAAAGTATATTTTCCTGTATAATAAACAGAAGAGTGGAATGAAGAAAGGTTTAAAATGTGCACATCAACATGATAATTTACTAAAACATATTTTTTTACTAAAGGCTTCAAATATTTATTTACATAACCTCAGGTGACATTAGTGTAGTGTAAGAGAAACAATTGTAAGAAAAGCGATGCCATGCATTAAAGTTATGTACAGATTTATAATTCCTGACTACCTAGGACAATTGTTTTGTGCTGCCCCCTCCTACCCCAGTTCACTGGCTTGCCTGAGTACCAAGAAGATCAGATGTCATAGCACCTTACCAAGACTAAGCAGGGTGATGAGACAAACTGCCCACTCTACATCAGTATACAAATGAAGAGCAGATAAACTGCTTACTTAGTTTGCTAGTAGGAAAACATTTTGGTTTGTGTCAACCATGAGTTCAACCCAAACCCAAGTTGTTTGTGGTTCGTGAAAATGGAGAACTAATTTGACCTTTCATGTCTATAGCAACCAAATACTAATAATGCACTTCCTGTCCCCTGAATTGTGGTCAGGTGACTTAGAACGGCCAATCATGGGGGTTTACTAATGTGCCAGCCACCTTCAAGTAAAAGTCACGGTTACCAGCAGCATTTGGTCATTGTGTGTTGAAGGGGACATGGAGTAGTTGGAGAAAGATCACATAATGTTTGCAGGGAGAGTTAGTTGCTGCTAATTGCAAAGAGCATCTAAATTTACATTGTGGCACAGTCACACTCACTACTTATGTGTTGAACATTTCTGCAGCAGATAGGGCTAGATCATAGAATCTGTGCAGAGAGATTCTGCCATCCTATTCAGTGCCACTCAAAGTCCTATATCATCAGTGTGTGTTGCAGACACTCAGAGTAGATAGGGGTAGACCACAGAGTGTTTGCAGAAAGAGAGATACATTTTTGTGTGTGTCTGTAACAACCTAATTTACAGCACTTGTCTCACTGTCCCTGTGCTTTCCCAACACAAAACAATGATCCCCTTCCAGTTTTAGTCCATGTGCTGATTCCTGCCACAGTGTGCCCCCTCCACTTGCATTCCTGTGCTTGTGTCATGAAAGTGCAGGGACAAAGAGACACGCACTGTCAATCAAGAGACCTGTCTTCTTTGTATGAGTAAGTTAGTAAGGGCAGGAATTGTGTGTATGTGTGTGTGGGGGGAGGGAGGGGGGTCTGTCGCCCTCTGGACCTCAGCATCTACTCCACACAGCACTATGGGATAAAAAAGCAACATACACTGTGGGAGTTAGGTGACTGAGCTGCAAATAATAATGATGTAAGATGAGACTTCTTTAAGTTTGCAATTTTCAGACTTTACAATGAGTTCAATAAACAGCTCTTGAACCAATCCAACATTCGCAAATCCCTATCTGCTAGCAATTAATGGGGCCAGGGTAGGAGATCTGTATGTAAACGTGGCTCTATTTTACCAATACAATAAAAATGCATAAATACAGATATGGTTTCCTACCAGCCAGTAAAAATGTGATGTGATGTCAATTTTATTATTAGGGCCAGAATTTTTCCCCAAAAAGTTGGCAACCATATGCAGTTACAGAGACAATGAGACCCAAAGCAACATTTCAGAGGCAGGAAAAGTGGCAGTATAGAACCTGCCAATAACAAACATAACTTGTGGGAGTCAGAGTGTCACCCCTGGCAGCCCTGCTGCAACAGACAAAATGACTTGTGCCGGGGAAAAAATACTGCTTTTTGCATAGTGGTAAGCTCAGTGTCTAGAAGATGAGAACGATGGATCACATGCTTCCAATATGATGCTAAAACCTTTGACAGCATCTGTATTTTCTTTTTTTATTCTCATCTGCCACGCACAAAATTGAAGGCAGCCTTTAAAGAAGAACTCCAGGCACACATTGTATTAACCCTTGTTAACTGCTGGTTTCTGTCCAGGGTAAAAAAAAAAGATATACTCACCCGACCCTCAGAGCCAGCAGCACTTCCTCCTTCGTGTTTCCACCTCTACTGCAGTGATGGTATGTTCTTTGGCATGCTTACATCCACTACACAGTGTATTGGACATGATGACTCATGGACCTTAAACCGGTGCAGCGGAGGGGGAGAGAGACTCCATGGATTGGTCCAAGAGCCGTCTGGCTCCAAGGATCAGGTGAGTAGTATTATTATTTTTTTACCCTAGCAAAAAACGAGAAGTTAACCCTTGCAGTGCAGGGATAGCCCACTGTAAGGGTTAATAAGACTTGTGCCCAGAGTTCTTCTTTATAAATTACCTTTAACGATAACAAAAATCCTTTTGGGTATTTTTATCATTATCTGTTAAGCAGGATAATTGCATCTTCTACAGTAAACAGGCATATACTAATTATTGCTGCTAGGCAAAATGATTGCTGTGAGATGAGCTGAGAAGCAATTCATAACTTAGAACATAAGCTGTACTGTACTAGCCACCCATTTATTCTAAGCCAATGAATTTCATATTGCCTTCTTTCATTTCCATTCTCTTGGCTAACATAACTTTTCTAAACATATTTGTTATTGGTAAGCCACTGAGAGTGTAAATGATAACAGAAAATAAACAAATATGTATAAGATGGGTTTCTCTAATTAACAATTTTATGGTGAAATGATGGTACATTGCGTATCCTCAACAATCATAAAAAGAATGAATGAGACGACAAAAATAGATCACCGCTTAAATATCCCCACATTTCAATCTTCCCTACGTCCGAAGATAAAGCATGCACTGGATTGGTAGAAAATATTGTTATAATATGAAAGAGCTACAGGACAGCAATATAATGAAGTAACAAATCAACAAACCTAATAAGATGCTGACTTAATGATACAAACTAAAGATGCATCAGAGTAGACCTAATATATGAATGCCTTTATTGGGCTACATTCATTAAATAAAAACATCAACTACAAAATAAACTTTAGCACCGTTTAAAAGAATATAAACTTGTCCTTTTATCATTTTGCAATGTATCCATTATATATGATATATGAAGGATTGTATTTGTATCTTAAAAGATCAGTTCACACAACTAGTTTTTCAGTTATTTCTTGGTGTGAATCACACAGTGGGAATTAAATTCACAAACCGTATTATTTCTGTATAGTTATGTAGCTCCTTTGTTATGATTTGTACCTGATTTTGCCTGCAAATTCCATACCCTTTTTTGAAAATGCTGCTTTCTGTCCTCCCTCTCAGTCATTGAATAAGAACCCCTTCCCTCTGTGTTCTCACACAGGCTTGTATTGTAGGGGAAGGGAAGGGGCATGTTCTACTGAATCTACTACTGAGGTTTAAAGCTGGGTATACACATGTCAAATTTTTCCCTAGCCTCTTACACCCAGCAACTGATTAAAGGACTCGGTTGGAAAAGCCAATCAGCTGCAAGCTCCGTTCAGGTATTCTGACAGAGGCCGCCGACAAAATAAAATGCAACAGCAGGGAATTTGTCCATCAACGCTCGTAAGCATTGATGGAGGAACCAGTTCTATTTTTTTCATTTGGCCCCCAGGTTGATTAGACATGTGTATACCAAGCTTAAGGCTTTGCCATACACATTACAATATGATCATACAATCTCTCTATGATCAACTTTAGATCTTCTAAAACTATGTAATATTTACCTACCTAAACTATCCAATCAATGTATATCCAATCAGGCAGGCACTTGATCTAAAGGAGATTGCGCAATCAGATTTTATTGTGTTTGGTGAGGAAAGTGGAGGCAAGACTATGAACATGGAAGCTGTTAGTTCAATATTTGTTTGACTGCATATCTATCTGGTATAACAATCCTACCACCTGCATTCATCTTGCACAGGTCTATGGAGAAACGTGATGTCATCAGGGGGATATTTGTAAATTGAAATGTCAATTTAAAATAGCTGATATCTTAGTTACATATGCATGTTGGTCAGATGAATTAGGGACTGGCTTCTTATGTCCAGCAGTGAGATTTTACCTTTAGTGTTCCCCCGTTTAACCTCCACTGCCACTCTAGACTCACGCTTCCTGTTACATTCTAAGAGTGAAACTGATGAGAAATCCAAAATAGCCACTTCACTACTGGGCCACTTGTTTTCATTTTTCACTCACATTAATATTGGAATTGTTGTCTAAAAAACAGCTTAAAACCCCAAAAACAATTATATATTTTCTGAAAGCAGAGTCCCTCTAATGCCAATTGAATTTTTTTATGTTGCATGACATTTGTGCAAAAGTTTAACAAATCTGTATCTTTAGGAAACAAATGTCATATATACTCCCGCACCAGATGAGTGATCAAGCGGTTCAGCAGCGTGAAAAGTGAAAGCTGGGCTTCCGCTAAAGAGAATGATACCATGATCATGGCCACTGCAGCAGCTGTGATCTTGGTATCAGCCACTTCAGTACGTGATGTTTATAAACGTACGTTGGTACACATGTGGTTAAGCAGGTGAGTTACTGTGCAATTGAAGCCCAAACTTTTTTTTTCAGTTTACTGATGTCTGTGTCCTGGTTAGAGAGATTGACCCTTACTATTTGTCCTGGTGATCATTATCACCGAAAGTGAAAGAAAATACCACATCTTGGGAGGTAATCAGAACAGGAATAGATGGAAAATCTTCCAATGAGGACACTACTTCTGTTGACCCTGCTGACTACCAGGAATTTCGCTATCATTGCAGGGATTTCCACTCACTTGTGGCTATGAAATGAAGCGAAATCTCCCCAATAAGACACAGATAGCGAAAAAACCCTGACAGGGGTTATAACCCTCTCTTACTTTACCCTAAACTTTAAAAAAGTTTCAGCTTCTTTAAAAATCCAAGACATTAGCAGTTATTTGGAAATACAACTGTTGATTGTATATTATGGCCACATAGGAATTAGCTGCTGATGT